TTTCTTATTCCAGCTAATAATCATAAAACACCACATCGATATCCTTGTTCAACAATTGTTCTTTCTGCTGATCATCAATATTTAGCATTAGGAAGTGTTAGTTCAAATTATTCATTTATTTATTGATTAGAAAAATATTATTTTGTTATAAAATAGGATGGAACAATATCTGTGTGGACAATTAATGGTGAACTAAAATCAACAAAATCTATTTCAGTAAGTTAATCAATTTGAATAGTGAATATGAGAAAAGGATAAGAAGTTAAATATATATTCTCTAGTCAAATGCAGGTATTTCTCAAACATTAACAGCAAAAGAACGGTTAGAAAAGGTATGCGATTATTTTATTAAATAAATCTATTATATAATAAAAAATTAATTTAATTAGGGTAAAGATGCACAAACTCGTTCTCAACCAAAATGGATCACTGATTGTCAAATAATACCTGAATTTAATAAAGTTGTTATTAGTACAGGGTAACTATAATATGAAGATATTTCATATACTCTTATTTTTGATAATAATAGAGATCGTGAACTTCAGTTTTGGGATCAAACATATTGTTTAAGTACAAGTCGTGAAGTTAAACCAAATGATCTTCCATGTACACAAATCTCTTCATTAGATAGTGCACCAATTAAACTTAATTATGGGTAAAGAGAGTGAGTTATTTGTCTTTATTATTTTTATTTCTGTGTAGTATTCCATCACCAGATGAGTTACTTCTTGTTTATGGTGATACAGAAGGTTGTATTAATATTCTTATATTTTTTGCTGCTCGAGAAATCTTTCGTTTATTAACAAATGTTGAACGTCGAAAAGGTATTCCAACCATTAGTTTTGATCGTTTTCTTGATTCATATAAATGTGATTATGTTCGATGGAAAGTTCATCGAGAATGGATTGGTAAGATGATCAAAAACGGTTTCTCTTTTTCTTCTTTATCGATCATCTTTATTTTTGAATGTAGAATATGTTAGTTATGATAGTCGATTAAATCAAATTATTTCATGTTCAAATGATCCAAATACAGCTGTTGTTATTGGTTGTATTCGAACAAGTCCAAGTGCAGAAATTCAGTTGACAGAAAATGGTTTTTCTGAATTAAAATCTCTTCCAACGAAATCAGCTGATCCAAAAACACGAAAACATCGAACAACAGCATTGACAGGTTAGTACAATTTATTTCCGAAGAAAAAAGCAAAAAGAACAATATTTAGATATCAATGAAGAACATAGTAGTCCATCATCAGGAAATACTAGAAATAAACGTGATTCAACAACATCTCATGTGACACATTCATCTCAAGATACTCATTCAAAAAAAGTAATTACGAATGATAATCGAAATGAAACATTAACAACAAGAACAACAACACCAACACAAACACGTTCAACTGTTGTTCGTGCTCAACAAGTGAATCGTATACCACAGACACGTTGTAATGCTGATCAAACTGTATTTAAGATTCAAAAAGGTGTTCGAACATTTGATTTATGTACAGAAAAGAATGTTCTTATAACTGGTGGAATGGATCGTGTTTTACGTATATGGAATCCATATTTACCATCTCGACCTATTGCTCGACTTCGTGGTCATAGTGCACCTATATTTCTTGTTAAAATATCTGCTGAAGACAATCGAATATTTTCTATATCAACTGATAAAGCAGTTTTGGTAAGTTAAG